CAAAATCTGAGATCGGCTACCAGTGTCCTTAATCGGAAATCGGACACAAGTGTGCAAAATCTGAGATCGGCTACCAGTGTCCTTAATCGGAAATCGGACACAAGTGTGCAAAATCTGAGATCGGCTACCAGTGTCCTTAATCGGAAATCGGACACAAGTGTGCAAAATCTGAGATCGGCCACCAGTGTCCTTAATCGGAAATCGGACACAAGTGTGCAAAATCTGAGATCGGCCACCAGTGTCCTTAATCGGAAATCGGACACAAGTGTGCAAAATCTGAGATCGGCCACCAGTGTCCTTAATCGGAAATCGGACACAAGTGTGCAAAATCTGAGATCGGCTACCAGTGTCCTTAATCGGAAATCGGACACAAGTGTGCAAAATCTGAGATCGGCTACCAGTGTCCTTAATCGGAAATCGGACACAAGTGTGCAAAATCTGAGATCGGCTACCAGTGTCCTTAATCGGAAATCGGACACAAGTGTGCAAAATCTGAGATCGGCTACCAGTGTCCTTAATCGGAAATCGGACACAAGTGTGCAAAATCTGAGATCGGCTACCAGTGTCCTTAATCGGAAATCGGACACAAGTGTGCAAAATCTGAGATCGGCTACCAGTGTCCTTAATCGGAAATCGGACACAAGTGTGCAAAATCTGAGATCGGCTACCAGCGTCCTTAATCGGAAATCGGACACTGTTGTTCCCAAAGTTAACATTAAGGGTCGCGGCTTTTTGCGCGTAGTTGTTACATTTCAAAACATTACCTTTTCGCATCTTGTTCATGTCCCAAACAAAGTTTGTTCGTCCCATGTTTTCTACCAAGATCTCCAGGTTGTGCTTGGTTTGCTTGGCTGAGCGTAGTGACTGTTCATGATTCTGACTCACTGCAATCACCACAGGACTTTTATATCCCATACTTGCGTCATATGTTTGAATCAGTACAGAATCTAAAAGGATCTGAGGCAATCGATGTTTTAAAAATATTGTTGGACTGTTTGGGACCTGACGTTAACTCTTAGCCGGAAAAAAGGCTAGTTTCATTTCAGACAGGTGGTGGATAAAAAAAAAACGCTCTTAATCTCTTAATATTCCTGCACTCTTCAAAAAACTGCGGCTATCTATAGCCAAGCCTCGCTTTATCTGTTAGATTAGGCAAATTAAGGAATTTCTAAGAAGCAGGTTCGAGTCGTTGAAATCTAGTTAGGAAAAGCTTGTTTGAAACACCCCCTTTCCCCACTCCCGGAGATTTACTTTGGAGCTGCTTACTTTTGTTGTTGTTTAATATACAGTGTATTATCGCCCATTTGTAAAACCATACCCGCCCGCCCCACCCCCACCAAGAAAGGAGAGGCAGGAACGAAGGAAAAACTGATCAGAAGATATGTTTGATGAATGCTACCACTGAATTAAAAATATTGTACAGTTCGAAGCAGATACCCAAAGAAAAATTGCTCAACTAACAGCTAGCAGGGCTCCTGCAACTGATCAAAGGTCGTACCTGAGCTCTGTCCAAAATTTGCTCCATTACAATCTCCTTTGGGTAGTGAGGTAACTCTGTCTGGTACAGTATAAAACCATATCCTTGTCCTCCATTGTTATTAATTGGCAGTTGTTCCATCGGCATCACATGACCACTTTCTATGGGGGTCTAAAGCAACAAAAATTTGACGCTTTATAAATATCATATCAATGAGTTTAAGTCTACACGTTTTCTTAAGTATTGGGCGCCGCTAGCGCGGTTAGCGCGCAAGAATTTCGCTTCTTGGATTTAAAACGTGCGACAATGAACTGAACAACTGATAGAAGGATTAACTGGAAAAAACTTAACGGCAGATTATTTGCATTCGAACGTTACCTGATATGAAAGGAGCTGGGTTAGGGACATACCCTGCTGCATGGAGACTTTACCTTTGAAAAGAAAGGGAAGAAAATAACAGAAATCAATAATTTTACCTTTCCACTAAGGAGGTATTAATGTGATTAATAATTTGAATCTTAACGGAGAAGAGAGAGATTCTTACCGTAATCCTTTCTTGAAGAGTTCTCTGGAACTTCAGGAAGATTCTTAGGAACTACCGTTTAAAGAATCAAATAACGTAGTATTTATTTATTAAACAGACAATCAATCAAAAACAGTCCAATATATTGGGATATTTGTTGCTTAAAATTGCTCTTCATTTTAGACAAAAAATTTGAAAAGTACAACACCCATCTTTCTGTCAGTACAAGTTGTAGCCTACAATCCCGGCCAACATATACTGCACAGCATAGTAATGTACACTCAAGTCATCTAAACAACTGACTGCTCAGTGTATTTGTGTTTGTCGAATAAAGCATGAATCTATCAAAAGATCTTTGGGGTAATTGCTTGTCAATAATTTTCAAAATTCATCGGTCAAAGTTTAGTCTTTAAACTCATCCAAAAATCTGTCAAACTAGCCACTAACCCGGTAAGTTCTACTAACAGCAAATCACAATCACTATCTAATGATTATATTTTAAGTTAAAAATCACAGGTCTGCAATATTTTTTTTATTGTTGACACTAACTGGAGTGTTCTGGTGCATGCTGTTTTATGGCATCTTTAATAGAGCGGTATTTTGATGTTACATCTCCAGCTTCTGATAAAGGTGCATCATAATCTAAAATAAAATCAGTTTTTAAATTGTTCAATTGTGCACAAGTAACAAACAAGTTACCTTAATCCCAAGGATTTCTTAGGATCCTACAAAGTTTAGCAAAAGTAATTAATGCCGACATCTAGATTTACAACCCAAGCAGTGAACACTGCAGAATCTTATTCCCTTTCTGTAGCACAGAGCAACAGGGAGCTATTCCAGGATGGAATAGGATGTCTTGCCCAAGATAATCATTCATGGACCTTGAACGGGTCTGAAAAATGCACCACTTGATCTGAAATCTTGCTTGCCCACTGATAGGTCCCACATTTACCTCCAACTAAAATTAATCTAATATGCAAATGATTGTAACAATTCAAGTTTTTTGAAATTATTTATGGTCACCTTGCCATGCATTGAACTATAGATAAATTATTAGGGAAAAAAGGCAAAAAAATAAAATTAAAAAAAAATACTGTAATGTACACACCATAAGAAGTTGTGGTTGGTCTAAGGCCATTTGCACCATTCATGAAGCCAAAATTTGTCCCTCCTGTAAAGCATGAATTTCTATGTATTAGCGTACTAGCGTACTAACTTCAACTCTCGAGCGAGCATGAATACCTACGTACTAGCGTACTTAATCATCCGTACCAAGCGAAAAAAAAGAAAAAAGCAATCCTATTTTGGGCATGTAATACATGTAGTTTCTAGTTATATAGTATTTAAATATTCAATATCCAATACAGGCTAGTGCACTTTTGATGCTACTTAATATCTATTAGTTTTATAAACAACACAAAAACAAACCATGAAACATGTAGAGGTTAAAGGAGGCTCCAAACTCCAAAATTTCCCCCAGGACTTTTGCGACACTCCAAGCACTCTTGCCATTGTGGTGTTTGCTGTCACCCCACAGATCAAACCAGCCTACCCAGTATTCCATTATCAAAACAGGTTTGTCTGGCTTCAAAGTTTGCAAAAAAAGGGGAAAAAAGGGAATGAGCAACTTAATTTTTTTTTTTATATCATTACAGTCAATATATGAGCACCTGATATTATGATATTGGAAATGTTCACTATCAGTGTTAACAGCATACCACAGCACCTGTGCAAAATTGTCACAAAAAAATACTTCTTTCTAACCTTGTTGAGGTCTGTACTGTAAGCTACAAACCAAGTTTTTTTCTGCTTTGGTCGTACATAAATATGAGCATAAAAAAATAAGGTTCCACAACTCACAGTATAGACCAAGCTGAGGTTGAAAGATATTTCCTTTTCTCATCTCTAGATTCAAACAGAGGGGGGACAATTTCAATTCAAACCAACTTTTGAATTTTATGCAGGCTGCACAGCAAACTACAGCCATACTAAATGAGAGAGTGACAGATAATTCCAGTTTACAATTATGTTATTTACAAAAGGAGTTTCCTAAGTATATATATGTTTATCTTGCCTAAGACTTATTACAATTCTACCTGTATTTCTTGTAAATAAGACAGCTCTTGTCTCAAATTAAACTGGACATCTACATTGATTGTTTTCAGAACTGAAATAAAAATGTGAGAAATGAACATCAAAAAACACTTGTGACAAAAAGTCTTTTTCTCTGACTTCTTTTCAGTTTTTCAGTTGCAATCATGCATATTGAACATTAATTGAATTAATTTTTAAAAAAATGTGGTATTTACCATTTGGTAAAGTAAGGAACTCCTTTTTCAGTCCAGAATTGTTATCAGATGTAAAAAGTAACTCTGTTATTCCTCCATTTACCATAATCTGTCCAAAAATAGTATAACAGACATTTAAAAGAAAATATTATTCCAAAAGAATAAACCTGATCACCCAGCATATTAAGTAAAAATTCAGCTAAACATAATATTCGAGGCTGGACAAGCTCAAGAAATAACAGTACTGCAGGCAGTATAACAGTAAGACCTGAAGAATTAAACTACAAACCATTTTAAGGTGTTGCATGTATTCCACATCAGCAGAAGCATAGCTGCCATATTCATTCTCTAATTGGAAAGCTACGATAGGACCACCCTTAGAAAACTGAAAACAAGGAAAAATAAAGACAACTTAGTTAACAAAGTTTGTTTCCTCACTTTTTTTGATTAACAATTTTAGAGTACATCAAGGGTAGTCAACAGATTATGCCCAAGTCATGCTGAACAACCAAATTCCTCATGGAATAAAAAATAATTCTGTCTCATTGTGGTACTAGGCAGTGCTTCTAATTGTCTTGAAAAATATTGAAAAAATTAATGGGAGATATTGTCCAAGTGTTGTACATCATGCACATTACCTGAAGAGGAACCAAAATTGGTAGAAATCTTTTGTAAAACTGATCAACAGCTTCAATGAATGGAGGGTACATTGATCTGGGTTCCATGTGAGGATCACTTAACAGCCAGCTTTGAAAATATATAAAAAACATTTTCGAATGAGCACATTCTATTAAAAGCAATCTTTTTCAAAGCATTCATTATTAATTAACCTTTCATCCTATTTGCCCTTTCATTGATACGTTCTTTTTGCCAGTTCTTAAGGTCTAGAAGCTCTGTACTAAGTTATATGAATTCCATGAAAACAATTGGGAGGAAGCTCATAAATACTGTTTTTAAAAAAAATGATCAAAAATAGATGAAGGGAGAGAGAATACAAAAATGGAGTTGAAAAATTGGTTAAACAAAATTGGGAACTTCCCTCCCCCCCCCCCCTAAAGCATATCATCAGTCCATATTTTTTAGAAGTTCTCATAGATTGCAAAACTACAATAAGGGCAAAATGGCAGTACATCCTGTCTACAGGTCTTCAAAGTAATACCGACTGGTAACAGTTCTTAAAGCCAGTTAGCTTCATTGTAATACATAAATACTAATTAAAATTATGGTGATTTCAAACTAATGGATGTAGCCAAGAAGTTGGCATTACTAGGTGCATAGTGATTCTTCTGGTTTAGGAGTTGATCTATTATAACTGATGCTCTTCTTGGAGACATCAAAGAGTTTTGATGACTGAAGTTGAGACTTGATCCATCAGAGACTTGAAGAGTAACAATCAGTCAAGTTTGCTACAGTATAAACTAGTCCACTGTCCATCAATCGTACCTTGGTAATCCTCCAAAGTCCCACTCAGAACAAATGTACGGTCCTGGCCTCAAGATAACATACAAACCCAACTCTTTTGCTAGCTTGATAAAGGCCCTGTTGGTAGAACAATGTCTGGTTATATAAAGTACTCATCATGATCAGTTACCCACATTTAAAACAGGATTAACTTCCACATCTACCCCAAACTGTTCCAGTTTCCACAGCAGAAACTGGGAGTAATTTGCTTCTCTCCTTGGATGGTATGCTAGTGAACACTCCATCCATTCTAAATTGCCTGCTGTCAAATTTGTCCAGTTTCTGATGGTCCATTGATTGACCCAGTCTCCCTTAACTCTTGGGTAAGGATGAGGTCTGTGTTTTGGTCTAAAAATACAACACAATGAACCTGCAATTTGCAGATTGGCCAGTTTACTACCATATAATGTTGTCAGGTTTCCCAGAGAGCACATTGATATACTTTAATTAAACTCTTGGGTATGGAGTGGGTCTGTGTTGTGCCTAAAACACAAAACATGAATGAGGTCTTGATTTCAGCCCTAACCTTTGGAAATGAGATCCAACACCCTACCAATTGGACCTCTGCATCTACTTTGTAACTTAATTAGGAGTAAAGAGAAACTGTAAGTAAAGAAGGTACCCAAAACATCACCAAGGTGAAGGATGATGGAAAATTCCCTATATGTTAATTTGCATATTCAATTTGATAAAAACAAAATAGTACATTTTTGAGACACCTTGTTCTTCTAAAATGTGACTGAAACTTTTCTGAAATCTTGTATCTTACTTGCTAAAAGCCAAGACTCATAATTTACAGACAACTAATGAGATAAACTTTGAAAATGAATTCGTGTCCTTAAAAAGGGGAAATAGTTGTTTTCACCTGATGTCCAAGTTACCATCAAACTTTAACTGACCCTTCACTTCTTCATGCACATTCCATGGAACATACCTGCAAATACAAATACTCTTATTTGAAGAAATCAAAAGAACTAAAAAACTGAATAATTCCAATTTAGCAGTTTATATCTGTACTTAGAGTATTACTAACTAGCAAATATGTATCAAATAATCAACAATTGGGAAATTTAATTAATATCATTACTACACTATGATTAGAATTGTTATCACTATCATTTATTTTCCAACTTCACTATGTAGAAGACAATAATGCACCATTTGAGAATAAACGTCCTGCTGTAATGTATATTTTTTTAACAAGATGGTTATTTAGCACTGTAAAAAAAGCAAGGGTTATGCAAGACCGCTGTTGCAAACAGCATCTTTTTTGCCCTTTTTGCTTTTCCTGCCCTTTTTGCTTTTCCTGCCTTACAACAAATACATGTAAAATAAAGCAGTTGGATAATAAATAACTTATTAAATACGGCACAATTCTCGAAAATACTCAGCAATACTGCACACCAACAATCTTTTCGTTCCAAATGTTCAAATATCAAGCTATTAAGCTTTTCCTAGAGGTAAACGTACTCCAGCTGTTTCAACATTCAACAGGTTGCACTGCACAGCCGTGCTTTTCACATACTACTTGAACAACGACAACTGAAAAACTGTTTCAGCTTACGTTTCTACCGTATTCAGCCCCATGGCCTTAAGTTTCACCAGTCTATCCTTCCAATACTCTGGAACTACTCTAAAGTAATGAATTGCTCCACTCATAATTCGAAGCGGTTTTCCTCGAAGAAAAAACTCCTTCTTTTCGTAAGTTAAGCTTGGTCCTGAAAGTTGAGATTTAGTTTCGCTAATAACTCTGACATTGGTCAAAACTTGGTGATGTTCAGCGTGAACCAGAGAATCAGCACTCAAGCTCTTCCTTTCAAGTAGCGTATATCCGACAAAAAGGACGATAGCAATCACGAGCAAGAATATTTGTTGTGAGCTGAGATTTGGCTTGCGGAAGAAGATTGTTTTCATTGGCATTTTTGTCAACAAACGTAAGTTACTTAAGAGAAGTATTTGTCCTCAAAGTGCTATTTCTATTTGAAAACTGCACGTGACGGATGGAGTGTAGAGCCAATATTTTCCCGATCAGGTGTGAAAGGCATGATGGAGAAAGTTTTCAAAACTTTTCGCCATGAAGAACCAAAATGTCAAAATGTTCCGGGCATTACCTAGACCAGTAATTAGAGATGAAACTGGGTACGAATTCGCGCACGAAGCGTTGAACGCGGCGTCCCCGCGTGAGTTTCACGAGTGGTAGAAAGGCGAGTCCTATTTTCTTACTGGTGGGCTACCAACTAAGCAATCTTGATGAGCTCATTCCCCACTAGGATAAACAAAAAAAAAAAAGAAAAAAAAAGATGAGGAAGAAGATGAAAAACAAATTCAAAAACTAAAAACTAGGAGTTGACTCGCATCCTCAAAGAGCATTCATTCTCTTACTGGAAAAGTGTTAAAGGAATTTTCAGAACCAAGTGAGGTAGCTTCAATCTGAATTAAGAAAACAGAGATAAGTTCTGTCAATTTACTTAATTTGCAATATAGAAACATTCTTTGTGGAAATCTTTTGACCATACAATAATTGATAATGATCATCACAACAGTGACAATGAGAATACTTGCGCACAGTAAATGTTACTGTTATTCTAGCGTGTCCGTGCGGAAAGTGCCAAGGAGAGGAGAGGGGATGCACATCCTTATTTTACTCTCAACCTATGCCTTCATGTAACACAATTCACTCCAGACTCCACTCAAATTACAAGTTACACAGTGGATAACTGTTCGATCATTCAAGAAAAATGTAACTTTTATTTAATTCAGATTCACAACCAGCATGAAAAAGAAAACATTTCACAGAAATTTACCCTGGCCTCAGTCAGGTAAAAAATAATTACAAAATTCAAATTTCAAATTTCAACAAAACAAAGACTTAAAAGAAAATGTTGCTCCTTGTATTTGTGGCTGTGCTTAATGAAAAAAAGAAAAAAAAAATGAAACAAAACCAAAAACAAAACCTTTTGGCTAGATAGAGGAGAGGTGTAACCAGTCATACGCACGCCTTTGCCTCATAGCAGTAGTTCACATTTAAGTTCTCCTTTTAATATGATTAAAAAATTATCTTAAAACCAAGGTGAAGGGTTGTTATCTCCAGATGCTCTCTTTCACAGTGACACTTGCAAAACGTACTCCCTTACATGTTGTGGTAGTGCATGCAAGCCCTTTACAACAGGAATCCAATGGATTATTTAATACTAGGGCTGAAATACAACAAACACTTTGACTAGAATGGCCAAATTACAGACTGAGACAATGTGTGCTTGTGTAGCAATTCACAATCACTGCAAAATAAATATCAAAGTAAAAATTAACAATTTTTTTGTCTATTTAACACATGGAATAGTCTGAGAAGATTATTGAAAATGTGATTGGAGAAAGATGCATTTATAACAAATACCTTTTCTGAGGAAAAGTTTTAGATTAAATTGACAATAAAGACAGCTTGAGAGAAGGATTCTTAAAGGTTTAGTTGCTTTATTCTCTAGCCTGTCTCTTGTAACACAGTTGCTTGTTCCCTTGCATCAATGGGGGCATGCTCACTAGCTACAAGATACAATTCTTTAAAAAAAACACAATGCATTTGACATTGCATTCATTTGCACTAACCTTTGCTTCAAAGCAATAAGGCTTTCCACGGCTCAAAAATGGCCTATTTCTTGTGATTTTTGACATCAACTATTTTCAGCTTTTTGGTTTAAGCTCACCCATTTTTCTTCTTTTCATTTTTACTCAAACCACCAAAGAGAGGCTGCCCTTGATAATATATTAATCTCCATATCAAAAATGTTTGTCTAAATTGTATATTAGTTTAAGTTACTTCTAATTACCTAGAGGCAGTATAGCTTCTAAAGAAAGGTACAAGTTGGTTAACCATTTAATTACAAATTAAATTCTTCAAATTAATCTTTTCCTGCAAATTTCTGAAGACTTCATATTCCACAGGAAACTTGAGATAATGACATCTGTGGATAAACAATCAAATCATGTGTGCTGTTGTCTTGCTTGTTGTTCTGCCAATATTTTCTCTGTTGCAGCTTTTCGTAGCTCCTTTATCCATTTTCTTGAAAAAGACCCCGGCAAGTGGAATGAGTGCTGAGAGAGTGGATTTGATAAAACAAATTACTGTTAATTGCTTCACACATGCCACACAGTCAATGTTTTAACCATTTAATTCCCAGTTATGTGATTGACATGTAATTTCTCCATATGACAACCTTCATTATCCAACAAACTGGTAACGAGAATACCTAAACTTATCAAGTAGAAGTTGTTATCTTTGTCTAACACTTAATTCTTGTAACTAATTCACAAGGAAAACAAAGTTCAAATCCAAGAATCCATCAAACAAACCAGAAGGCTCCACATCACCCACAGAGTGCTCTATTTCAGTTTTCAAACATTTTCAAGGAACCAGCCACATATCTTAGAGTTCAAACTTCTGGTCTTACTAACCTCCATAAAACTGTGACAGTCCATTGTTGCAGGCCCCTTGGTAATGTCCTGAAGTCAAAAGTCAAGAAGCTTCTTTAATGGAGCAGCATCTTCACAAAATTTTGAGTTACTTAGTTAAATTTGCAACCTAACTTCTCCTGGAAGGATTCTCTATTATAACAATGTCATTTTTATTAGGACATAAAATGTTTGAGGGTGTGGTCAGGAGTGAAGCCATTGTCCCATCATGGAATGACTTGTGTCCTAGTACTCTAGTTTAGTGAATAATAGAAATAATGTCAGAGTTAAGAGTAACAACTGGTTTCAAAACTTGCTTTAGTTACTAACCTTCATAGCTGCGCAAAGCTGAGCAAAATCATTACACTTCATTAGTTTTCCCTCATTAAGACTCAATAATGTCAGTGCCACTCTAAGAATCACTTTTGATCCTTCATAGAACAGGCAATCCCAGATGCGAAGTACTGTCTGGAATCAGAAAAAACATTACCACAATTAACTAAAAGATTTTTCCAAATATCCATCCATTAATGGTCTACAATATATACCCATGTACATAAAATTATTTCATGGATAACTAAGAATATAACCCCTATGTTCCATGCTTATCAACTTAACATAAGGATCCCAGTCATGGCTACAACCAAGGCATCTGATCTGAAATCCATTACCTTGATGCTACCCAATAAGTTCCACACTATTGTAGTAATAAAAAATAATTGTTTACAGTGCTTCTCTCCACTCAGTAGTATGATTGGGTATATATCTTGCAAGAGAAACCTAACAAAACACTTAATATTTAATAGTCTGATGT